ACTGTATTAAGTAATACATATATATCTCCGGCTGGGAATTCGGAATTCCGTTTAATAAAAAGATCATCGGAAAAAAAATCAGGACACGTCATGTGACAATTTTGTGCCCTGGTTGGCATACCATGTGGCATTTGCTATGCCAGGTACCCTAATTGCAAAGTAAACCTGTAACTGGATCATACGTAGTAAATCATTCAGTTACAGGTTTTCATTAATATCTGTGAAGATCTTGGAATTAAAATTAAAATACTCCGAATAACTATTGACAATGCTTCAAATAATGATACGTATATTTCTTGAAATTACGTTATATCAGTATTTTATCAGATTACACATATTAGTCTTACTTTACGGGATTTTTTTCCTTTTTTTGAGGAATCACTATTATTATTTCTAATTCTGGTCATGATCTAAATATCAATGGTGATTACCATAGTTAATAAATTTTTATTTTATATTTCTTTGTTTTAAATATATAGAGTTGTATCGATTTCAATTCCGGACCAGTCTGAACTAGAATCATAGGATTAGTCCTTGTGATGGGGTAGGATAATAATAATTTAAAAGGAATTTTTTGTTAAACCGCAGAAAGTTGTATCGATTCAAACCTAACACTGCGGTAATGACGTGTCGCATTAGCGCCTATATTTTATGTTTTATTTTTATATTTTATTATAGAGACCGGTCCGGACTATGTCTTTTCAAGACCGTAACATCTCTACAGGTACAGTAGTTATTACAGTACACCCTCGTTATAGCGGACCCGTTAAAGCGGTTCCCTCATTATAACGGAGAATATTTTCAGTAATATTCATTATAACGGATGGAATTTCTCTCCGTTATAATGAGGGTAGTGTAGCATAAAACATTTGCTGCCTCGTGATTACTAATCAACGATTGTACGTAGTCATAAGTAATATACAAGGACGGCAACCATTAAGCAAGTCTCCACAAAAATTAAGTACATTCTACCATATTTATATAAACAATGTCGATGCACTTTGGTAGTATTGGAAAGTGCTTTAAGCCTATTTTTGGTTAAACAGAAAATTTTTATGTCAAAGTAAAATTTTTATTTTCAACAAAAACCGCAATATAAAGTTTAAGGTGCACGGTCAAGAAATTTTTTGGAGATAGAGTTGGCTTAATTTATATTGTCGGAATTTTTTAATTCGATTTTGAAGCCATTAATTAAGTTCTGTTAAGGCTTCATACTTTACATGATCCATCTCCACAAACAAGTATACTTAATAGGACCGGTTTACTTAACGATTTCGGAAATTGTATCGGGAGATATTTTTAGATATTCTTACGCACACGCATATGCGAAAAGCACACAATAATAAGCACGCACGTACAAATTCCAATTATGTTCAGTCATAAAATTGTGTTACGTATATAGAAAGTTTTGTGGCAAATTGTCCACTTACCATTCATTACTCAGCCGTGATAATGATAGTCGAAAGAACATATTACGTAGTGTGACCGTACACCCTCGTTTCACAAGCATAAAATAACGCATTATATACTCTGAAAAAGGTTTATTTGTGTAAATATATATAACGATAATTTTTAAGGTTTGATTTACATACAATTCACGTGAGATTTTTCATAAAATTCGCTTACCGAATAAAATTTAACGTTAAGTTATTTACTAACAATCTTTTATAGTGTTGACCAACATTACAATAACTGACCCGTAACCCTTATTTCAACTCTATATTACGTATATCGTGTATCAAAAAAATGAATTCTTGTTCATAATCACTAATTATTTTCCCATACAAGAAAATATACACATTATATACTCATTCGTATATACAATTAAGTTTTAAGTAAAATATACAAAGGTGAAATCTTGCCCATAAATCAATTAATTTTAGGACAGTTTCATCTACATTTTTTTTTTTTTTTTGCTTATTCACAAGGAAACAATACATCAAAGATGCCTTGTTTTCTTATAAAGTCCATTGTCCTTTTTCTTCAATTTACTAATAGTTTTTTAACTTCAAAAAATTATTTGCCGTCTTTTCAATTGGCCATTGTCCACGTCGACCAACCATTTCTACTTCCAACACTAGCTATCTGTTATTAGACAGCGCATTTCCTAAATCATATCATCCGCTACATCCTAAATTATAAATTTATACCTGTCCAGCTGAAGCTTCGGCTGCCTCCAATTTACGATAAATTTCGATCAATCTTTCTGGCCCGATATTATCTTTAGGCCAAAAATACGTCACGAACTGCCATAAATTGAATTGCCACCGACTCCGTTCTGATGAATTCTTCGTGGATATGATTTCGGCTATCCTAGCACCAATGACTTTGAGCGATTCTTTTATAAGTCGCGCCTTCTCTTTGCCACTGTATTGACTCGATTCCTAAAATAATGCATGAATTATTATTAGCATTAATTATCGAAAAACAAATAAAATACGGAAAGTATGTTTAAATATTTTACCTTTTTTAGCCATTGGAGTTTATCCTTAACTGGGCGCAATAATTCTTTGCAAGATCTATCATCGGGTGCTGACGATATGTCTTCCTCGCTTATAACTCGTTTTGATGCTTTTTTACTTTTAGAGGTATCATATGTAGAAGACGACACTTGTTCGTTATGGCTATCATCACGGGCACTAGAACGTATCTTGGAACGTCGCCCCTTAATGACCAATTTTCAGAATAATAATAGACAATAAAAGACAATTAATTTTAAATAAATTTTTTTGCACAAAAAACGAAAATAATAGAATTATTCGACAAATACTTTCTGTTGTTGTTCCTCCTCTTCTAAATCATGTAGCATTTTCAATAAATAATAAGCTCTACGCACGACTTTGGCCGCTTGTGAATTGCGTTGCGATGGATCTACTTCTTCATCAATAAGCTTATCCGTTAAACCCAACCGAGAATCTTCACGGATAGCTTTCCAATTACCAAAACCATGTTTATATATACCAATTACTAACATCTCATCATCTTTGTGATTCCATGTTACAGTCCAGTTGTTAACAGGTTTTGTGGATGATAAAATCTTAAACTTATCAGGACTCGAGAACTCTAGATTTAATAATAAATAAATGAGAAAACTGATCTAAAGTTATGATCAAATAAATAAATTGCATACCTTTCATCATTTTATCCAATACACGCAACTCAGCAATACGTTGAGTAAACAAGCCTGCGTTGAGCTTGTCAACTCCATTATAAGAGGCCTGAATTGCTTTATTACGAGGATTTGGAATTGAGCGAGTTTGTTGTCCATTTGGATTTGCGTCATTTGCCATCTCATAATCTCTGACAGCCTTTTCACAAGCTGCATAAAGTGAATTGTAAGCTTCAAATAGTTGCTCCTTGTTCTTGTCTTGCAAATCAGCATCATTAACAACATCATCATAGCGCACATGAATATCCCCATATTTCAGTACGCTTTTATATAATGCTCTAATATCTTTAGTTGATAAATCTCGTGATTTACCCGAGGACGAAATCTTTGGCTTTTTAATAGTCAATCTCTTGGGGCTTTCTTCTTCAGATTCTGAATATTTTTTACGACCGCCGTTGGATTTCCTTTTTAAGCGGCTGTCTTCGTCTGAATCTGCATTCTTCTTTTTACTGCTACTAGACTTCTTTTTTCGATGTCCATTATCGCCATCCAATTCTGCATATTTTGAACGATCACCATGAAATTTATAATTGTCATCGTCGGACTCTTCATATTTACGTCCCCCGTTTGATTTCTTCTTATGATGACCATCGTCAGAATTTATAAACTTTTTACCAGATGACTTGGACTTTTTAGGACGCACATCTGAATCACCATCAGAGTCCCTGTTCTTCTTACTTTTGGTCTGTGACTTTTTCTTTTTTCGAGATTTTTTCTTTTTTGCCATTTCATCATCTGAAGTGCCGGAATCGATGATCTTTAACCGACTATCCTGAGAAGCCGTATTCCGTTTTAATCCAATCTTATTCTCCGGTTCTTGTGCTATATTTGATTCTGCATTAAGCTTAGCAAACTTATCTCTTTCTTCTTGAGGAATAATATCATCCCAACTTATATCTCCACCTCCAAAATCTGCGACTTGGAATTGTTTAAGAAATTCTTCACCACCCAAACTACTACTTGTTTGGTCACCGACAGTATCGTGAGTTTCTGCTCGAGCGAGGATATCATCCAAGTCGAGATCATCGAGTTTCTTTGAATTTTCGGATTCTTTGAATATATTCTGAGCACCAAATTTCAGAATTGCAGATATTTCTTCCCGGCTGAAATTATCTGCAGACTTTGCATTCTTAGAACTATTTTGTAAAATACTCTTTCCTGAAGTATCCATCTGTTTGATAATACAATATTCTAACACCATCTTGCGTTTGGCACGTTCAAGAATGCTTTCTTCAATTGTATCTTTCGATACAAAACGATATACATTGACGTGGTTCTTCTGGCCAATACGATGAGCTCGTGCCATAGCTTGAAGATCATTTTGTGGGTTCTAAATTTAAATGGTAATGAAACAATGAGAAAATTTATCGAAATCGTTAATTTGATTAAATACCAATAAATATCATACCCAATCTGAGTCAAATATGATCACTGTATCGGCCGTGTTAAGGTTAATCCCTAAGCCACCCGCACGCGTAGATAACAAGAATACGAAATCGGGTGAATTCGGGGCGTTGAAATGTTCTATGGCTTTCTTACGGGCCTCAGAAGGGACACTTCCGTCTAAACGTTGATGTTGATAACCTCTCAACTTAAGATAATCAGTTAAAATATCCAATAAACGAACCATCTGCGAAAATATTAAAACACGGTGGTTGGACTCTTTTAATCTAGTTAATAATTTGTCAAGAAGCACCATTTTTCCGCTATTTGTTATTAATCCACGTAATTGATCTTCCTTACGGGTGGTTAAAGGTTCAGCATTCGGAAATAAAAATGGATGGTTGCTCGCCTTTTTTAATTCGACAGCGATATTCAAAAGACTCATCTGAGAAGACCCAGTGATACCTTCATTTAGCACGTCGAAATTCTTTGTAAGGATGTTCTTATAATAATGCATTTGAAGCGATGACATTTCCACTCTTAAAATCATTTCAGTCTTTTGAGGTAATGACTTTTCAACATCTTTTTTAAGGCGACGAAGCATATAAGGCTCAAGGCGTTTATGGAGATCACGAATCTTCGCCTCTTGTTCGGCATCAGGAGCATCAATATCAATATCGCCAGCAATTTCGAATTCAGGCATCAAAAAATTTACCAATGCACACAATTCTTTGACAGAATTCTGTAAAGGAGTACCCGTTATTAGGAGTCGATTTGTGGTATGAAATGTTAACAGGACTTCATGAAGTTGTGATTCGCTGTTTTTCAAACGATGTGCTTCATCAACTGCTAGGAATTGCCATTTAATGTTGCCGAGTTCCTGCCGATCTTTCAAGATGAATTCGTATGTAGTAATTAAAACATTGAACTTTAATCTTTTGCTTCCGGTTGTAGATGGAATATAAAATTCATGTTCACGTATTACTTCACGACTTTGGGAAGGGCCACTATATATAATAACGTTAATATCAGGCGCCCAGGTCTGGAATTCACTTTGCCATGAGCCAATCGTTGATAATGGCACTACTACCAAAAAAGGACCGTATTGTTCAAGAGAATGATACAAATATGAGATAAACGAAATAGTTTGGATAGTTTTTCCAAGGCCCATCTATTTAAACACAATATATATATGTTAACAACAATGTTCATTCACGATTAATACAAGAAAAGGTTTATAAGGTTATAACATATGGTGCGATGAATGTTACAAAATTACATACTTCATCAGCGAGTATGCCGTTCTCATTTCTTGACCATAGATGAGCAAGCCAATTCAAGCCGGTTAATTGAAAATCTCGTAGCTCACCGCCAACTAAGTAGTCTGGTTGTTTTGTTAAAGGCTTAAATGTCGGTCGGTTTTTATGCGGCCTGGACCGGTGAGGAACAAACGAACTACGGTTACGATCGATAAAGGAAACGATTTCGGAATTAAAATCGCTTTGAATCGTTGAAGCTTTTTCCCAAGTGCAATCTTGATAAGGAAGGCGCTTAAATTTGCATAAGTATTCCGTAGCTGGAAAAGGGTTATCCGAGGATGGTGATATAGATCTTTCGGCGATTATGCGTTCTACTGTTTTATAATCCTTTAACACATCACGAGCCATCTCCATCTTCACGTCAAGAGTTTCCTTATCTTCTGGACTCTCAGATAACATCCGTTGGTCAGCTAAGTAATTTTTGATATAGTTCTCCAGCTTTTTAAATCCTTTTAGGCCTTGAAGATTTTCGTATGTTTCCCATGTATTGTGCATATGACTCCACCCTTTCCATTTAATTAAGAATTCCATATTCAACTTCGGATCTTGCATGTCAAGGGGTTCTATAATGTATAAATTTAATTTTAAGCATTAAATAATCGCCTACTCATATAGCTTGGTTTTATTAGAGATATTTGTAAATGACATACCCTTTCCTTCAGTTCTCCTGATATCATGTATACTCTCTATTGTATTCTCTTCTGCAAAATAAAAATCAACATTAAAATACCATTTTATAATATTATCACACGTATAGCATTAAAGATTAAATAAATATAATGTCATAAAATATCAAACCTTCTTCGGGTTGATAATATTCTTCATATTGAAAATCGTAGTCATCGGCCTCTAATCCCAGTTGTTTGTCAAGTTCTTCTTCGTTATAGGTCGTCACTGTACGAGTACGTCGAGAGTAACGATTCTCAACGAAGTCTTTAGCGTTGAAAGAATTCTTTTTCTTCTGTTTAGACGACGTTGTTTTGCTTGGCCATTCGTTATCTGATATAGAATCAGGAGAGGATGCGCTTGATTTGCTCAACTGAGAAGATGAGTCAAAACCGCTTTCATCGTTTGATCCAGACCCATCCCAATGTTCATCTGTAAAGTTTGCATAAGTATATCTATATTAACAAGAGACTCTAATATTTCGCGTATAGAAAAAATCAAACCACATGGATAAATGGGCTCTACGTAAGAGAATATAACGGATTCCTGAGAAACATACCATTGGATCTTCTCAATCTGGATTTTTTGGTTGGAAATGTCTTTTTACTGACGTTTCCCTTTTTTCTTTTTCTTGGGTTTGACAATTCTAAGTCGGAATCTGAATCTTCTTCTTCTGAAGATGTTGATGGTACCTAAGGCGGGAGCAAATGAAAGAGATAAGTTAATTTTAACAACTTTATCAAGTTAATCAAAATAAAAGATTATGTTACTTAAAAAAATTTACTCTGTAACTTAAACTGCGTTGTGATGTACGTTGGGACCTTCGCAATCCGTAGAGCTCAGGGTCAATTTCCATAAACTCTGAACCTGGATAGTGATGAAAATAGGGTTGAAGATAGGAGAAGATTGGTTAGAAAAGTATAAATTTCGATTTAATTAAAATTAAGTAAAATATCTCAAAGAATCTTGCATGTTGCTTGTGCAAATTATAATGGATAAATATATAATAATTGCGCGTTTATTTGACAAAGAAGCTAAAGCTACGTGTCAAGGATTTAGTGTAAAATTGGCATGTTTATTGGGCGCTTTAAAATGTAAAAGAAATCTCGAAGTGTGACGCGAAGATCCAAAATCTTGAAGATGGTGTCAGAGATGATCGTCTCGGGTAAGAGAGAATAATGAAATTATCATGTAAGCTAAGAATACTGTAATGAAGCTGGTTTAAAGGAAAGTGCACAGTACTAAGGGTCGAAGTTCAGATTTTGTGAAAGTAGGAAGAATAGTATGTAGTAGTAATTCGGACAACGCGAGTACGGATCCAAAGGAAGTTTGAAATGTAAAAGACGTGTACACGCGAACGAATGACGAAAAGAAAGGTGATGAATAAGAGAAAAGGGAGGGCACAAAGAAAATAGAACTGGCTTATGTCTATTCAGACTCAGCTACATTGACATCAAGCTTTCTTTACCGTGACGGTATATTTTATTTGTCAAAGTTTACAACACTATGATTCAAATTCAACAAAGCTATTTTGCAAACGAGCCGTAGGGCGTAAAAAAATTTTTACGAGGTTTCTACAGTTCCCTCAACACTCACCTGTCATCTTGGACAAGATTCAGTAAGAGAAACGATATATGCTCACTTTTCAATTAAGGGTGATTGTGTAAAAAGTTTTTTTTTGGTATATAGGAAAATATAAATTAATATGAAAACGATATTATTATGACGATATAATAGTGGAAGCTAACTGTCACGGTGAGAGGTTATCTGAGAACCTCATGCAATGGGCCGATTGGATTCTATTTAAACATCAGCTTCGGTGAAATCGCCGGGTTAGATTCCTATAAAATTTATCTAAATATCGGCACATAACGCTCTGAATATGTTAACTGCGAGTAATACAAATTTTTAATATTTCTACTACGTATATCGAAGTCTTGGTCTTATAAGCATCAGAATAAGGACACGAAGTATTCAACTTACCACTTTTTCACTAGTTTTAAATGTTCATTATATGTGGAAAGAGAACTTCATGTAAACTGTGGTCAGATCCTTACAGTGGTAATTACTATCTTTATTATATAATTTCCAGCATATATAACAAAAATGTCGTCATAAAAATTTATTTTAGGCCATGCAAAATTAATTAATTGGTTTTCATAACCCGGCCGGGTCAAAATTTGAACACTTGTAAATTTGGTTTAATAACCGGGTGGGTTTTTAAAGAAATTTTTAAAAAAATTTTTATGAACTTTTCATATATGAAATTTAAAAAAAAAAAAAAGCCGGCCGGGTTTGTTTAAAATTTTCATATTATGAAAACCAAGATATTAAATTTGTGTGGTCTTATAAAAATTTTTTTGTATAAAGTTATATAAAATAACCAATGGTGTTAACATATAAATTTTTTTCGATATATTAAATATTTTTATTTAAGGTACGTACCAAATATATATATATGCTATATGAATTATTTAGTAAGTTTTTTAAAATATAGTATATAGCTTATTTTTGTTAAAAATTTTAAAAGAATTTAAACGTAGCATATAATTCTAAGTTATATTAGTATGCTTAATATATACAATATTTATTACATATACTTTTATAGATAGTAATTTTATTATTAAAATAAAATTAGAAATTAAAGATTAAAAATAATATAGATTAAATTAATTTAATATTGTGGTTTATATTATATAAAACTTTTAAATAAATTTAACTATATAGTTGTTTTTTGTTTAATTTTTTCTTTAAACAGTTATACTAGTACTTTTATTATGTTATTTACAACTTTGTTAATTCAATTAGATATAGATTGCTTGATTTTTAAGTTTTTTTTTACTTTGGCAGTTATGTTATATATTTATTAAGAATTTTTATTGCTGTAAACCATAATATTTTTTTAAAATTAACAATAATAATATCTTCCAAATACTTTTAAAAGCACTTATAGATAATTTATTGCACTAGCTAAGTAAAGCCAAAAAAACAATACTAGACTAAAAAACATATTTAACTACTATTTTACAATAAAATATTACCAATTTAATGATATTTTTTTCTAAAGAAGTAAAAAAAAAATTTATATAAAAAAGAATACAGAAAGCTAAAAAAAATTATAATAAAAAATACAAATAAAAAATAAAAGAGTAAAAAAATAGTGAATTGTTATTGCCACCCCATTTTTGTTAATACCACCCTATATAACACTAATTAACCTTTAACTTTTCTAGAAACTCTATAAACAATGCTTATCCTAACTACTAACTAATTCATCACATGAATTTATACTATTTCTAAATACTATTTGTAAAATTTTTAAGATTTTAGACCAGTTAGGGTCATATAGTGGATAGTATTAACAAAAATAGAAGATGGTATTAACAATTTTCAAAAAATATAAAAAAAACAAAATTAAAAATTTTATTTAAATAATTGGTTATAATTATAAGTTTATATCAGATTTTTTAAATACTATATACTATTTGAGAAGATTATAATAGAAATCATAAGTATCTTACCCTCTCTAACTTTTTAAATAGAAAAGCTATAACTTTAAAATTTTACAGTAAATAGTATTAAATAAATATAGATTAGTGTTAAATTTTTATACTTTTTTAATTACTACAACAAAAATTAGATAAGAGCTAAAATTTTAGCTATTTTAGATATAAAAACTAATTAAATTTAATTAAAAATTTATAAAAAATTAAAATTAAATCTAAATATTTTAAAAATTAACAGAATTAAACTTCAAGCATTTTATAATATTAACAAAAAATTTGATTTAATTTAATAAAATAGTTGTTGAGAAATTAATTTTTAAAGTAATTTTACTATATAGGAGTAAATCAATAGAAATACACTATATTTTTTTTAATTAGTGATTCGCCAGTTAGCCAGTGAGAGGTCATAGTGTAACGTGATATAGTTTACTTATAGAAATTAAGATTTTGCTAATATGGGCTGCATCATTCTAAAACTTTTTTTTGTACTAAGTTAACCACCTTTGGGCTTCTAATTAAAGTTGTAGAACTTATTAAGAGAAATCTAATAGTTGTTAAATTGTCAAAATCAGCTTTGTAGATTATGAGATATCTTCAAAAAATGTTTTGCTGACTATATAAAATTTTCTTTTAACAATAGTATTGTTAAAGAAGAATTTTACATAGTCAATGAAATATTTTTCAAAGATATCTCATAATTCACAAGGCCGATTTTGATGATTCAACTATTATTAGATTTCTCTTAATGGGCTCTACAACTTCAATTAGAAGCCCAAAGATGGTTAACTTAGTATAAAAAAAGTTTTAAAATGATACAGCCCATATTCGCAAACCTCTAATTTCTATAAGTAAACCACGTTATGTTATACTATGACCTTTCACTAGCTGACTGGTGAATCACCAATTAAATAAAATTTTTTAAAACTTTAAACAAAAATAACTTAACAATAACTTAATCAAATTTATAAAATTTTTTTTAAACCAATTCTAAAAACTTGTAAAATTTATTTAAAAAATTTATTAAATTTAGTTAAGTTTTGCTAAGTTATTTTTGTTTGAAAATATATATGGAGACGAAATTATTTTAGATTTCAGGTTATGAAATTAAAATTTGAAGATGAAATTGTTTTTGATCTATTTTACTTAAAAAACAAAATTTTTTGATATTTTTTTGAAGAGACAAAATTATAAAGAATATAACTATCTAAATTAAATTTGCTCTTGTATATAAAAAATTCCAAATTGCTCTAATGGAAACAAAATAGGGTTTTTTTAAAAACTTATTTCAGTGGTATGTGTATTTGAAAATTTAAAAAAAACTATTAAAAAAGATATAATATAATTTATTTACTTATTCTTATATTTAAAAATTATATATATTATATAACTAAATAATTATAGTATTTAATAAAAATATAGTAATTTTACAAGTTTTATTAAAAATTTAATAGACAATTCATTTATCATCTAGAGAGAATCTGCAAATTTTATAAGTAAATTTTACTATTAAGCCAAATGTAGAGAAATTTCTTTTAAAACTTTTTTCTTACTAAGCAAATCACTCTTGGGCTTCTAACAAAAGCTGTAAAGCTCATCAAGACACATCTAATGGTGGTGAGGATGCTAAAATTGGCCTAGTAGTTCTTGAGAAATCTTTAAAAATGTTTCACTAACATATAA